CTGCCCAGGGAAGTGGTGGAGTCACCATCCCTGGAGGTGTTCAAAAAATGTGTAGATGTGGCACTTCAGGACATGGTTTAGCAGGCATGGTGGTGTTGGGTGGATGGTTGGACTTGATGATCTTAGACGACTTTTCAAACCTTAATGATTCTATGAGTCTATGACTCTAGGATTTTCTTGCTTTGGTCTCCTGCTGGCGAGTGCCTCCTGCCTCCCTTTCCCCCTGCGGTCCTCTGACATGCTCCTCACACGGCTACAGCTGCCCTGCATCGGGGTGCTGGGTCCCAGCGCACTTCACTGCGCGTCCAGCAGCACTTCACAGGACACTGAATCCCCTCTGAATTACCCACACCCGGCTGCCCTCCGCGCCAGGGGAAGAGCTGCCGCCGCTCGGTGCTGTCCCCCCAGCTTTCCCTCTCCGGGGAAGTGGAGCACAGGAGACAGCGAGTGCACGTAGCAGGGAGGAGGCTTCACAAACGCAGTGGCGAGCTGCACGTTTGCCTGTAATGACGGCTTTTTATCCCCGGAGAGGCAGCTTTCCCGCTTCCCAGCGGCAGCACCGTTGTTCGGTTCGTTTGTGACAGCCTCTTCTCTCGGGGCTCTGCCGGCGAACCGCTCGCTGGGGAGCTCTGGTTATACTGGTGTTTAACGCCTGGGGTAAGGGGTGGCAGGACACAGGACTGTGAACCACCATGTTGGGATTTCTGAGTTGGGTGCCCCGCCATGTTCCCCAGGGCTTGAAAAAATCACAAAACTCCTCTGCTGTTACTTCCCACTCACCGTTAGGAGAACAAAAATAACTCGTATTCCTTAGGGACATCGCAAGGAATAGTGAGCGGCTGCTGGTAGCACATTCGAGTGACGTCTGTGTGGTTTTGCCAGCTCTGCGCTACCCTAGGTATCTAGTGGGGGCTTTAAACATATTGAAACGCCTTCAGTAAATTTGTAAAAAAAAATACTTTTCATTACTTTTCTTTCTTATTCTTCAAGTAGGTATTAATCCCTAATGTTGCTTTGGAAGAAACCGAGTGGAGATATGTTTAAAAGACTTTCAGGCTTTTATATGTTGTTCTCTCCTTCTAAGCCACCTGGCTAAGAAAAAAGATTATAGGCAGCCTCATACTCATTTTGAGAAATGTATTCATACATCTCTGTTCTTACCTTTACCCCGGAAAAATCAAGTGGTCACTTTTCTAACCTGTATTTTCTCATTAAATGGCACAGTGAAGTTCATGCAGAGATACTGGAGATAAACAGCAAAGTAGCGTAACTGTGTGAGGATACAACTCCCCTCAGTCTAACACAACTGCTCCTGTAATTAGGGTAAATTGACTCAGCCAAAGCATTTTGCCAATAAGGCTAAAATGGTTCCAGTGCCAAGATAGTAATTCAAAATTCATCTGAATGTTTCTGCAAGGTGCGCACTCTGCTCCACAGACACACAAGCAGGTCTGTTGCTGACCTAGTGCTTTTTGCCTTTCCCAACAGAAAGTACAGGACGAATTGCTGTGGATGCACCATCACTGGTGTAATCCAAGGCAAGAGATCTACTTCGATATGTCGAAAGGAATCAGAGATGTCTTTCTTTTTCCATTCCATGAAATGAGCTTATGATGTGCCAGATAAAAGTAAATTTTGGGATGCACTAATAATGAATCAAGTAAATACAAAACAACACTTTGTCTCCATTGCCCTGTGGACGCTTCTTGGACTGAGGAGGATGAAAGAGGAGTGCCGAGACGGGGCTGGAATGGGAACGCAATGAAGCATGAAAGAATCACCTGTTGGAGTGGGGAGATAAATGGGTGACTCATATCACCCTCAGGCAATACTACAAAAGCTCAACTAATTTCGGGTCTGCTGGCTATAGTTCTTGACTCTAAGACTGTGCGAGAGAGACAGGGTTTGTTTTATTGTAAACGTGCTACCATGCTATTTGAGGAACAGGAGAAGGTGCCAATGCTGTGCAAAGACATGGGATATGTACAGGTGCCCACCAGGGCTGGTCTGGGTCTGGAGACATCCCAGCTGCAGTGTGTTTGCCGTGACTACACACCCTGCTCTGGGCTTGTGGTGACCTGAACTGTGGCAGAATGTGGAACTATTGCCATGCTAGCGACCAGCTCACCGTAAGAAGCTGCCACCTAAGAAGCCGTGTCCTTCTGTCTGGTCCCTGTTGGCTGTCCCACCGCTACAGCAGCTGCACTACACCGCAGTGAGTTTAATGTTGGTGAGGATGTGTGGCACTCTGTTCCACAGGCAAGACGCACTGATGTGTTAGATGCATCGTCAGCTTTGGAAGAAGTGAAACTTCTATGACTACTACTACTTCTACGGTGTTAGTGAAACATTGAATAGGCTCTAAAGGAAGATACAGGACCTAAGTCAGTGGTTTTGTCAGCACTTCCACTAAGTGGTAGACAGATTCACTTTGGACTTGAGGACACAATCATCTATTAAGCTGAAGGTGGAAAGTCTGAATTTAATACTTACTGGAAAGTACCCACCATGGCCCTGGGGACAGATTAGAATGTACATTCTTGTTGGCCATTTCCTTCTGCACCAAATGGACTGGAAAATCTTGGAGTTTCAATGTGTTAGTTTAAGATCAATCGGCATGATCTGGTTTTCTTTGCAAAGCCTCACAGACGCTGAGACCCTTTGGTATCCGGCATTCGTACTGCCACGGGTATTGACTGTGGTCAATTGGTGAATATGTTTAGAAGAAATAAAAATAGTTTTTCACAGAATACTCCTTTAAATACTGCAAAAGGACTGTTGCAGAATATTGCCAAGTCTAAAAGAATGAATAAATTGAAAATGGATTTAAACAAATTCATAAAGGCTATGTACTTCTCTGGATATTTATCCAAATGAACGGAGTACATCCCGAATTTGACAGAAGCCCTGACTGAGAGCGAATGTCACAGATGAGGGACCCTTCTAAACACGCTTTTTTCTTACCCCTCCACATTGACAAGGTAGCCATTCTCATAATGTTTGGTTGCTGCCAATCTACGGCCAACTTTTTCTAACTGGAAGTTTAAAGAAAGCTGAGATTAGCCCCGCTGCATGATCTTCCAGTTGTTCTCAAACCTCCCATAACCAGAGGCAGAAAAGAAGTGCCAATTGTTTATGAACCTGCTCTTTCCATAAGTGTCCTGACTGACATGCCTGCTTTTCTTAGGAGGCAAAGGCTTTGTACAAGCTATTGTGGCATTTGCAGTACAAAACTGGGGAGGGCGAGAGTCAAACAATTTACCAAGCCAGAAGTTTACAAGGCAGTGACAGCAAAGTCTGGAAACAGAACTCCGCTGTGATGTGGTGGAACTTCGGTGGACAACAGAAAGACCGCCGGGCAGCTAAAGAAATGGAACATGAACTGAACATGAACTGAACGTGAACTGAACATTTCATTTTGGCTGACAGCAGCTCAACAGAGAGACAAATACTGATCTTTTGCAGTGCACTGACTGCATGAGCAATGAAGTTTTACTGTGATGAGTCTGCAGT